GCGCCAGACATGCTGCAACTTCAGTATGAACTGGAGTCCAAAGCAGGCAAGTGGTGCCACCACTGACATTGCTAATATGTTTTTCTCCATTCCTTTAGCACCGGAGTGCAGACCACGCTTTGCTTCCACCTGGAGGGGCATCCAGTACCCCTGGAACTGACTGCCCCAGGGGTGTAAACACAGCCCCACTATGTGCCATGGACTGATCCAGACTGCACTGGAACAGGGTGAGGCTCCAGAACACTTGCAATGCATTGATGGCATCATCATATGGGGCAACACAGCAGTGGAAGTTTTTGAGAAAGGGGAGAGGATAATCCAGATCCTCCTGAAGGCTGGTTTTGCCATAAAACAAAGTCAAGACAAGGGACTTGCCCAGGAAATTCAGTTTTTAGGAAAAAAATGGCACAATGTACATTGTAAGATTCCAATGGACATGGTCAAGAAAATAGCAGCTATTTCCCCACCCACTAGCAAGGTGCTGTGGTTTTTTGTAAGGATGCATATTCCAGAGTACAATCAAATTGCAAGCCCTCTCAGTTATGTGACATGGAAGATGAAGGATTTCAAGTGCAGTCCTGAACAACAACAAGATTTTGAACAAATTAAACAGGAGATTGTTCATACAGCAGCCCTAGGGCCAGTCAGGACAGGACAAGATGTGAAAAATATGCTTTACATTGCAGCCAGGGAGAATGGTCCTTCCTGGAACCTCTGGCAGAAAGCACCAGAGGAGACTCAAGGATGACCTCTGGGGTTCTGGAGTCAGGGATCCCAAGGAACCAAGGTCTGTTACACCCCAACTGAAAAAGAGATACCTGCAGCCTATGAAGGGGTTTGAGCTGCTTCAGAATCAGAAGCTATTGAGGGACAAGGTGGATCAAGTCAGGTTGCAGAGCTGAAAGCCATTTAGATATCACTGAACAAGAGAAATGGTCAGTGCTCTACCTCTACACTGACTCATGGATGGTAGCAAATGCTCTCTGGGGGTGGTTGGCATGATGGAAAAAAACCAAGTGGTAGTGCAGAGGTAAACCTATCTGGGCTGCTGAACTGTGGCAAGACACTGTTGCCCGGGTAGACAAGTTGGCTATAAAGGTATGTCATGTAGATGCACATATATCCAAGAGTCAGGCTACTGAAGAACATTGCAACAGTGGACAGGTGGATCAAGCTGCCAAGATTAAAGTGTCTCAGGTGGGTCTGGACTGGCAACATTAGGGTGAATTATTTCTGGCTCAGTAGGCCCATGATGCCTCAGGTCATCAGGGAAGAGATGCAACATACAGATGGGTTCATGACTGAGGCGTGGACTTAACCATGGACACTGTCTCCCAGCTTATCCAGAACTGTGAAACATGTGCTGCAATCAAGCAGGCCAAGCAGGTAAAGCCCCTGTGGTATGGGGGGTGATGGTCAAAATATAAATATGTGGAGGACTGGCAGATCAATTGCATCACACTCCCACAAACCCACCAAGGCAAGCGCAACATGCTTACAACCATTGGATGGTTGAAGATGTACCCCGTGTCTCATGCCACTGCCCAGAACACCATTGTAGGCCTTGAAAAACAAGTTCTCTGGTGACATGGCACCCCAGAAAGAATTGTGTCAGACAATGGGACTCATTTCAAAAGTAGTCTCATAGACACCTGAGCCAGAGAGCACAGTATTTAGTGGGTATATCCCCTATCATGCACCAGCCTCTGGGAAAGTTGAACAGTACAATGGACTGTTAAAAAACATATTGAAAGCAATGGGTGGGATCTGTCTGCCATTGTTTTTCATTGTCCTGGGCTTAGTGAGCATTATGCATGTAAATCACTGTCTCTTTGTACACTTCTGTTATTAGTATTGTTGCTGCTACTTTTCATTTTCTTATCTAATTGCTGTTTCCAGAAAATTGTTCTTATCTCAACCCATGATGTTTGCCTTTTGTGCTTCCAACTGGGGAGGGGAAGCAAATGCCAGTGGGGTTTCAGTGGAAGCACTGAATTGGGGAATACCATTCCTAAATCACGACATCCCAATACCAGAATCAGTAACTAATTTTTTAAAATTAAGTTAAATACCTCAAGTTGAGTCTGTTTTGCCCACAACAGCCTAAAGTCATCCATAGAGGAAAATCACTGCTTCAGTTTCTATTGGGCAGAGTAGAAGAACTGATCTTACTTCTGGCTCTGATGAAGGGACTTCTGGTTTGCAGTTGCAGAAATCAAGTAATAAATATTCCAACCAGAAATAAATAGGCCCTGCCTCCAACCAGGTGAAGGAAAGTGACAACTGGGTTTACTGGACTGGGTGGGTTCAGTGGCCTGGCACACCAGACTCAAAGGAGTATAAGGCTGTGGTTGTCACCAGTGCACAGTGTATCCTAATACCACCAGGTTACAAAGGAGCACAACTTATCTGTATTTCTGGAATGATAGGGGAATTTAAACAACTGTCTGTGTTGGAGACTAAGGTAATCCTAACTGGGAATGAGTGGCAAAAGCATGCTATTGTGACGGGCCAGGAGGGTACATACATCCTCTGCATAGACTTCTCAGGAGAAGGTACTTCAAGATGGGCTTTTGGTATAGCTGCCTTGAGTACAGAGAAGATTGAACAGCTATCTACCCTGCCTATCCTCTTGGAAGATCCCTTTGTTGTGGGCTTTCTGTATGATGCCAGTGTTTTATGATGCTGTATGTCACCACTGCTGGGGCTGCCATATGTCCAAGGTATTACAGCAGGAATCACACGAACCAATGAAGAATGGATCTCACGATGAACCACGCAAGTGCAGCAGTGATGCAAACTGAGCTGGTTTTGTTACACAACATTCCAACACAGCACACCATCCTGCCTGTCCTGAGTGATCACCATAATAGACAGATCCCAAAGGCATGGAGTAAATAAACTCCAATGGACTTTTTTATAGGCATTTTATGGACTTTTTATAGGGATGGTCCATAGACTGAGTGATATCTGCATGTATGTCAAAGGATGGGAAGGGTGGTTGTAGTTAATAATGAATGGAATAGTGTGCTACCTGAGTATGTCATGGTTCAGCTAAGCAAGGAATTTTTTCTTTCCCTTCCCCCAGTAGTAGAAGCCATCAAGAGCTATCAGATAAGTACTTAGGTGAACAAAAAGACCTAGCTCCCTCACTAATGGTTGAGAAATTAGTCTCCTAGGAAACGGAGCAGACGAAAGGTTAATGTTTACCTTTTTCTCTCCTCTCCTGGGCAATGGGGGAGGAGGAGTTTTTTGGTGGGCTGCAGCACAACGTCAGAGGGGGAGTTTGCTACTGCTCTCTGCTCAGCTGTTGCTAGCTACCAGCCCTGCCTGAAGCGAATTCCGACCAGATGAAGATCATGAGTTTCATTTTTTTTCATTGAGAGAACTTTGTTGCTGGGTTTTTTTCCTTCCCCCTCTCCCTCTCCCCTTTCCCGGTGTGTGGGAAGGGAGGGAAGGCCCAGTTTTTTCTTGGCTGGATTGGTTTCTCCGGCATACCCTGGTGGTTGGCTACAAGACAAGTTCTGCATCTCCAGTGATCCAACATCGCCACCTGGTGAACGGTACAGGACATTATAAGTTTTGCATCTCCAGTGACCCAACGGCGCCCCCTATTGACTGTGGTTGGAGTTGCACCAAAGGGCACAAAAATTGAACTGTTTACTTTTCCTTTTGCCTGTTTATTGGTTTGTTTTTGAAGGGGATTATTTGTGGGTATAGGAGTATTGTTTGGTTGTTTTACTTGGGTTTTTTTCGTGTTTCTGTTAATACACACATACCTTTTAATAAAGGGTTGTTATTTTTCCTTTTCCATAATTTGTTTTTTTCCTTCAATTGGAGTCTCTTAATTTTGGATTTATAATTGTGTAGAGAGAGAAGTTTGGGTCTTTTCTCCTAACTCATCCTCAGCAAAAGACCCTTGTCTCATTTAAACTGGGACAGATGTAAACAATATGAAATAAGGAGATTGTACTGGGTCTGGTTAGGATGGAGTCAGTTTTCTTCATAGCAACTCATATGGTACTATGTTTTAAATTTGTGATGAAAACAGTGTTGATAATGCACTGTTTTATTTATTGCTGAGAAGGGCTTACACAGAGTCAAGGCCTCCTCTGTTTCACACTGCCCTGACAGTGAGTAGGCTGGGAGTCCACAACAGGTTGGGAGGGGACACAGCTGGGACAGCTGACCCCAACTGACCAAAGGGATATTCCATACCATATGACATCACTCTTAGGAATACAAACTGGTGAGGGGGTGGGGTGTGTTTCCAGGGCTGCTGTTACTCAGGGACTGGCTGGGCATTGGTCAGCTGGTAGTGAGCAATTTGGGGGTTTTGCATAATTTCTTTATCTAGGTTTTGGTTTTATTTATGTGTTAGGTTTTTGTTCCTTCCTTTTTTTATTAAATTGTCTTTATCATCTCAACCCATGAGTTTTCTCGGCAGGGGGAGAAGTGAGCAGCTGTGTGGTGCTTAGTTACCTACCAGGGTTAAATCACAACAGCAGGACTTTTCATATTAAGATTTCAGACTTAAAAAGTAAAGTACAATAACTGTGAGAGTAGTGTAAATGCATGTCACCTACTTTCAGTTGGTTTGTCAACTCTCTGCTTTAAGCTGCTTCATTTTAAATCAGCCTAGATAACTATATTTTTCCTTCTTCTCTCCAAACTTATAAACATGTGGACTATATATTTTTATATGGGACTAAATACTGCCCAAGTACTGAAGGGTTGGTAGTTTAAGTTTAAAATGGGAGCTCTGTGCTCTTTAGAGAAAGGTCCTACTGTCTGTGAGTGTTCCCAAGTTATCCATAGCCAGTCTCTGCACTAGGACCTTAAGTCACACCCGGAACTTGCTTACATAACAGTAAGTCCCACCATTTGACCAAGTTCCATAAATATTTATTTCACAAGCACAATTGGTATTAAAATATTTCACTTATATTATCGTACTGAAATCACATGCATACATTCAACCTTGCAGAAAGTAGACTTACCTACAATACTTTTTTCTGGAGCGGGAGGCACAATGTAACCAATATGTATGTACTTCATTGCTAATTTGCTGTGCAAGCCAAGAAAATCACTGAATCTTCTTTTAACAGAGAATGCATTTTTGTGAAACATGGAAAGGGATGTCTAAAAAAAAAGTCATTTTAGTTATGACTTCCTGATACACTACTCAGTTGTGATATAAAGTTATTTGGAAATATATTTGTTGCACTAGTTACCTTTGTTGTTACTCTGTATGCCATATAAGCATTCATGCCATCCCCTGTAAGAAAATAAAAATACTTATCTTAAGGCAAGTTACTTTAATCCCTCCACACACTTTTTTTCCGAAAATACACATTAAATAGCTTTTATTTACATGTTAAAAACATCAAAAGATAACTGAATAAGGAATTATACTAAAATTTCAGAATAGCCTCTAAGAAGTAAGACAGTCTAACATTATTTAATCTGTTGTCATAGTTCTGATTTTAGTAAGGAATTTTTCTTCCCCTTCCCCCTGCCGTGTGTTTGTGCTCTGTATATGGGCCATTAGGTGAACAAAGGAATCGGTCCATCCACTAATGGCTGAACTTAGTCTCCTTGACAACGAAGGGGGAGGAATTGTGGGGGGTTGGTGTGTGGCTGGAAGGAGGTGGGGAGGTGTGGCTGGTGTGTGTGCCGGTGAGGTCAGGACCTGCTGCAAGCTGCAGAGCTGCCCAGTTTTCTTCTTTCTTCCTGTTGGAGGGGAGTTTGCTGCTGTTCTCTTCTCAGCTGTTGCTGGCTGCAGGCCCTGCTTAAAGCTAATCCTAATCTGCTGAAGTTCGTGAGTTTTCTTCCATTGGGAGAACTTTCTCTTTTATTGCTGGTTTTTTTCCTCCTTCCCTCCTCCTCCCATTCCCTCTCTCCCAGTGTGGGAAGGGAAGAGGAACCGAGTTTTTTTTTTGGTTTTTGGTTTGTTTTTTTCTTCCCTCCGATATACCTGGAGAGTACCTTTTTTTTTTTCCCATCCCACGGGGCGGTGACTAGGGATCCCACAGCGCCGCCCGGTGACGGGCACTGGACATTACAAGTTCTGCTCCTCCAGTGATCCAACAGCGCCACCTGGTGACTACAATAGGACACTACAAGTTCTGCTCCTTCAGTACCCTAACAGCGCCACCTGGTGACTGGTACAGGACATTACAAATTTTGCATCTCCAGTGACCCGATGGTGCCCCCTGCTGACTGTGGTTGGAACTGCATCAAAGGGTGCAAAAATCGAACTGTTTAATCTTCCTTTTGCCAGTTTATCGGTTTTGTTCTTGAAGGGGATTATTGGTGGGTATAGGAGTATTGCTTGGTTATTTTACTTGTTTTTTTCGTATTCCTGTTAATACACACATACCTTTTAATAAAGGGCTGTTATTTTCCCTTTTCCATAATTTGTTTTCCTTCAATAGGAGTCTCTTAATTTTGGATTTATAATTGCTTAGAAAGAGAAGTTTGGGTCTTTTCCTCCTAATCCATCCTCAGCAAAAGACCCTTGTCTCACTTAAACTGGGACATCTGTTCAAGTAACTTACCAACTTTCTCTGGGTCTGACACACTGATTTCTATATCAAGCAAATCTCCATTTGCTTCCTCTTCAATCTAGAAAAAATGTATGCCATATTTAATAAGTTAATGTGCATTCAGACTACATATTGGTACAAAGATAAGGATATATGTGAAGGAAGAGTCAGTATGTCTCAATGAATAAAAAGCTCTTCTAGATCCACTATCCAATTTAAGTGAACATAATTTCACATCTTGGTTTTTAATTTTGAGCCTTCCTGAAAACTTTTTAGTGTGGCAACTTCTTCTTCAGACTTGTTGGCCTCAGAGTTTTAGTAAACATTTATATTGGGGAAATGCTCATTTTATCTCCTCCAATCCCAGCAGGCACAGGGGTTCAAAAATGCTTTCACTTGCAATGTTTCTATAAGCTTCTACTCAAAAGACAGATATATCCCTCATTATTAATGGTATCTGAGGTTGAAGAGTTGGGGATGGGGAAAGGAACAACTATAGAATTTTCAGATACTTGCCTGAGCTGTGTGATAACAGAATTTCCTAATCTTTCATGCAACATACATAAGTTTGATAGAACACAAGTAGTTAAGAAAGGCCATGACAGAACAGTGTGCCAAGGTTGAAGAGGAAGAAAATCTAAATGAAATGTCAACTTAGGGTATCTGGGAAAGCAGCCATCATCAAGTCCCAGGCCAGTCATCATCAGTGATGTTTTCTAAGAGCATATTCTAGAATGAATGGCATTTGCCAATGCACAGACTTTGAATGGAATGACAAATGTAAATAGCCTCAGCTGTTTGTTAGTATGCAGAATAATGATAAAAGTTTCCTCAATTTCCTTATTAACAGCAGCTTCAGAAATCTGAGTTAAAACCTGTAACATGCTAGTATGAATTGATACACATCTTTAACATGTAGCTCAACACTTGTTCCCTTCACACACTTTTACAATACCTATCCTGTAGGAATGGAGCATGTTACTCCTCATACTATAAATCTCTCATTACCTGAGCAATGAACACTCATGATATTGAGTCAAATACATATTAAACACAAACAGAATAGTTGTTCTCTTGCATACTTCCCTTTACCAAAGAATGCTCCTGTAAGTTAGGAACTGCATTAAAAAAAACCAAAACCTGCAAACACACACACACACAAAAAGACATTTTCACAGTTGTCAAATATAAATTAAAAATTTTCACAGTACCTCTTCTCTGGATCGATCAAAAATCACAGGGGGTGTTACACTTTTCAATTCCATTCTGGGAGCTACTAATGTAGTAGGTGTTACACTAGTGATTCCAGGAGTAGGTTCTGGTGAAAGCACTGCATCCCTCATTGGACTGTCCAATGAAACTTCTTCTGTAGCTTCTAGATAAAGATTTTGAGTTCACAAAAAAGATATTGTTCCATAGAGATAGATGTGCACCACAAAAAAATATCAAGCACGCACATTAAAAAGTGATAATACATATGTTTATGAAGATAATTTATAAATAACCTCAATTTCTCAGATAATTTCTCTAAATAGGTTGGTAAAACAAGAGGTGACAACAGAGTTTCTAGTGAATAACAGGTTAAAGTAAAATTAAGTATAAAATTTATTTTTCTGTGCTTCCATGTAAAGCATAAAGTTTTTTGACTACTTTTAAAGTAGTCACAAAACTGCTAAATCATTAATTTCTATATGATATATGATGAAAACGAATGAAATTTTTTCCACAACAGACCATTTTTTCCAGTGCCTATGCCAAATGTAGTTTTTGCACTCTGAACAACCACCGATTAAGTCACATAGGCTGATAATTGAGCATACCAAGAGAAGTTATACATATACACCCCCTACCAAAAGCCCACAACTTGTAAAATACAAATATTAGTAGATGAGGCATTCTGACAAGTAAGACTAACTACTTATTTTTAGTTTCTTCAGATTGTAGATAGTTAATCTATATTTAAAGAGTATGTATATCTCTTCTCTGCAAAACCTTCATGGTTTCTTTCCTCCACTACTTGATTTTGATCACCAGCAAACCATACATTTAAAATAGAATGTTTCAGTTGGAAGGAATGTACAATGATCATCTAGTCCAACAGCCTAACCAATTCAGGGCTGGTCAAGTTAAAGCATGTTATTAAGGGCACAGTCCAAATGCCTATTACATACTGACAGGCTTGGGGCATTGACCACCTCTCTAGGAAATCTGTTTCAGTGTTTGACCACACTCTCGATAAATAAATGCTTCCTAATGTCCAGTCTAAACCTCCCTTGGCACAGCTTTGAACCACTCCAACGCATCCTGTCAGTGGATACGAGGGAGAAGAGATCAGCACCTCCCTCTCCACTTCCCCTCCTCAGGAAAATGGAGAGAGCAAAGAGGTCACCCCTCCACCTCTTTTTCTCCAAACTAGACAAACCCAAAGTCCTTAGCCCTCCTCATAGGACATTTCTTCCAGCCCTTTCACCAGCTTTGTTCCTCTCCTCTGGACACATTCAAGGACCGTAACATCCTTCTGTAAATTGTGGGGCCCAGAACTGCACACAGTACTCAAGGTGAAGATGCACCAATGCTGAATAGAACAGGATAATCCCCTCTTTTGACCATCTGGTTCTACTGTGTTTGATGCACCCCAGGATATAGTTTGCCTTCTTGGCTGCCAGGGCACACTGTTGACTCATAGTGACCTTTCTGTCAACCATCACCCCATAAGACCCCTTTCTGCAGGGTTGCCCTCCAGCCACTCCTTTCCCAATTTATACTTGTGCCTGGCATTACTCCATCCCAGGTACAGAATTTGGCATTGCAACTTGTTAAATTTCATCCCACTGGTGACTGCCCAGTGCTCTAATCTATCCAGATCCCTCTGCAAGTCCTCTTGTCCCTCTAGAGGGTCAACAACACCTCCCAGTTTGTTATTGTCAGCAAACTTGCTAATGGTGCATTCAACTCCTGCATCCAGATCATTGATAAATATATTGACCAGAACTGCCTCTAGAATTGAGCCCTGAGGTGTTCCTGGTGACTGGTCACCAGCCAGATGTAGCCCCATTCACTACAACTCTTTGAGCCCTGCCAGTTCTTCACACAGCACACTGTGGACCTGCTCATTCCACAGTTGGACAACTTGTCCAGAAAGATGCTGTGAGGGAGAGTATCAAAACCCTCACTAAACTCTAGAAAAACTACATCCACCACCTTCCCTTCATCCATTAGGATACCAAATTAGCTAAACAGGACTTTCCCTTTGTGAATCCATGTTGACTGTGCCTGATGATTGCACGGTCCTTTAAATGCCTTTCGATACTACCTAGTATAATATTCCCCATAATTTTTCCTAAAACTGAGGTTAGACTAAGAAGTCTGTGGTTCCCTAGGTTTTCCTTCATGCCCTTCTTGAAAAGTGGAATAACATTAGCTAGCTTCCAGTCAGCAGGGACCTCCCAAGACTCTCAAGACTTTTGGTAGCTGATCTAGAGGGGTCCTACCATAACATCTGCTAGCTTCTTCAGTACTCTGGGATGCTCTCAGAGGGCAGCAGAGAGAACAGCTCTGTAAGGTGCAATCAGTTTGACAATCTACTTAGCCTAGTGGTAGAACTCAGCGATGAAGTAGAAAGACTAAGAACTATTAAGGACTCTGAGGAAGAGATTGACTGGTGGAGCTGCGCTCTACCCTGCATCAGAGAAATGGACCCACCATCCACTTCATAAGAATCAGTGGATCCCCTACCCTCTCACCACCAGGCAGGAGGGGACCTTAGAGATGGATAGGAATGGAAATGGGTTTCTGCTTAGGGTGGCAAAAGAATTCCCTTCCAACCTAACTCACTTCCCCAGGTACCCTTACACAATAGATATGAGGACCTGAAATCTGAGGACCAGGGAAATTAGTAAGTGAATCTGGCTTGGATAGGTCACCTAGGGCAGGGCAGGGCAGCCTACCCCTGCATCACTATCTCCACAGTTAAGAAAAAAGTAGGGTAGTAGTCATTGTCTCCTTTTGAGAGGAATGGAGGGCCTGATATGCCGACTGGACCCAACCCATATGGAGATGTGTTGCCTCCCTGGGGCCCGGGTAAGAGACATCACCAAGAAACTTCTCAGCCTGGTACAGCCCACTATTACCCACTACTGGTTTTCCAGGTGAGTACTGACAAAGTCCCAACAAGAAGGCTGCGTACAATCAAGAGGGACCTCTGGGCCTTGGGACAACTAGTCCAGGGATCTGGAGCACAAGCTGTGTTGTGTTCTCTTCTGTCCTGCCGGTTGCAGGGAATGATGGGACAAGAAACAGGAAAAATCACGTAGATGAACATCTGGCTTTGAGACTGATATTACCAGCAGAATTTTGTGGTTTTTGATCATGGGTCAGTTTATACAACACCTGTATAGAAAAAAGGGTAAATACAGAAGATTTATTCAAGGAAGAAAAGAGTTTTTCACTCAAGGAGGTTTTTATTGCTAGGAAAACTAGACCTAGAAAAAATCCAGTGTGGGAGACAATTCTTTCCCTGTCTGTTTTGAGAAGTTAACTCCCCTGTTGCAAGAAGAGTTAAAAGTTCTCACACTTCTCCAGGCCTCCAGGAGAAAGAAACCACAAAAGCACAGGTGAGATTATCACTTTGAAGTTATGAGCATGAAAAAGGTTTTGTTATAAAAGCACCAGAACAGGGTCTCTCGGGGCTGCTCTTTCCCCTGCTGCATGATTTAGCAGTGTATTTACAGTTTCCAACTTCAGAAAAAACTTTTCCTTAATACCTTAGCTGTGGTTTGGTCATCTGGGTTTACCTGTGTGTGTATCCCTTTTAAGAACACCAAGCTTGCTGGCAACAAAGGGGATTCACCTGTCTCAAAGAATAAAAGGATCCTAGCTCAGGAGTTAGCAGGCATTGTTGAGAGAGCTTTAAACTAGATTTGAAGGGAGATGGGGACATAGCCAGGATCAACAGAGATAAGGTGTGGGAGGGGGACAACCTTAGTGCACACCCTAGTAGCAAAAGAAGGCTTAAGAGGGGATACCTCCAGCAAGCACATGCAGCCAAAGACATAACCACAAGACAGGACTACGGGGCACCACTTGCACCCCTACTGAAACATTGACACAATCAAATACTTCTATAAAATGCCTGTACACCAACACATACAGTATGGGGAAAAAATAGGAGGAACTAGAGATCTATGTGCAGTCACAGGGCATTACGATTAAGGAGATGTGGTGGGATAGCTCACTTGACTGGAATGTTGTCATGAAGGGCTACACGCTGTTTCGGAGAGACAGACTAGGAAGGCACAGTGGTGGAGTTGCCCTCTATGTGAGGCAACACTTAGAATGTATCGAGCTCTGTCTTGGTGAGGATGATGAGCGAGTCAAGAGCTTATGGGTTAGGATAAAAGGGCAAACTAGTAAGGGTGATGTTGTGGGTGTTTCCTACAGGCTGCCTGATCAGGAGGAGGAAGTAGATGAGGCCTTCTACAGGCATCTAGAAGCAGCTTCAAAGTCACAGGCACTGGTTCTTGTGGGGAATTTTAACTACCCAGACATCTGTTGGAGAAGCAACAACACAGCAAAGCACAAACAGTCCAGGAGGTTCCTGGAAAGCATTGATGTCAACTTCCTGTTACAGGTAGTGGAGGATCCCACAAGGAATGGTGTGCTGCTCAACCTCATACTAACAAACAGGGAAGGCCTTGTTGGAGATGTGAAGGTTGGGGGCAGTCTTGGCTGCAGTGACCATGAGATTGTGGAGTTCAGTATCGGGTGAGGACAAAACAGGGCAGCAAGTAAGATTACAACAATAGACTTCAGGAGAGCTGACTTTAGCCTCTTCAGGGATCTTCTTGGAAGAATCCCATGGGAACAGGTCCTGTGAAGAAAAGAGGTCCAAGAGAGTTGGCTGATATTCAAGGATAACTTCCTCCAGGCAAAGAAATCAGGGGCAAGCGACCTGCATGGGTGAATAAAGAACTCCTGTCATTACTCAAGCAGAAACAGGAAAAACACAAGAGATGGAAGCAGGGTCAGGCCACTTGGAATAGAGAGGTTGTCAAAGTATGTAGAAATGAGACAAGGAAGGTCAAGGTCCATCTAGAATTAAATTTGGCCAAGGATGTTGATGCCTCAGAGCTTTTTGGATTTTTTAACTTTTGTAGATTTTAGAAGTAGTTGTGTAGTAAATGTAGATTTTAATGTAGCTATATTACATCCCTTACCCTTAACATAGCAGTTTACACATACCCAACCCTGTTACCCCATTTTATATCAATCCCTCCAAATTCCGTTAGCATGTTTAGTCTTCCTTTCAAGATAGAATTGTAGAAAAACACCTCTGTTTAAGAACATCGTACCCTAGGCCTGGACCAGAAGATATCACACAGATACA